CACATGAGGTCCAGGGTTCGAGACCCCATACAGTCCAGGTGAATGGAAAGTCAGTTCATATATTTCCTCAACACACCCTCGAGGCCTTGACAGTACTAGTGACAATGTCATCATTGGCTTGACTGCTCCGTTTGACAAGTTGCTGTCATTCAGTCTCCACTTCAGGTATGGATTCTCCCGGGGTCTGTCATCTCTCCCTTCTGGTCTCTGTATGGGTCTGTTTCCAAGATGGTTCCTGTTATTTATTTTACCATAACACAGACATTATGTCTTCTTCCGACGAGCACAGTGATATCACAAGAATGTGATATATCTATTAGAGATAATGGGTTCGATTCCATTATATGGCCTCAACGTGGACCCATTGACCCATGTTTTGTAACATTACATATTAGAACTTTTTTTTCTTCAAAGGGTTTAATTCTGTACGATGTTAGCTCTATCTGTCTCCATGGTAACAGGCAGATAACACGCACATACAAAGGGAAGAGTTTATCTTATCTACGACATCGTGGAAAGCCAGGACGGTAGTTTTAGTGGGTCAGCTCTTCCGTGACCTCGGGAAGGATTTGGGATTTCATCTGTTATTCTTATTAATGATCTTAAGCCAACATATTTTTGCGACCTTGAATCAGGATGAGTATCTGCGATCTCTGGTGCTCTCCTCGTTATCTTCTGCTCTGTCCTTTCACGCTATCTTCTTGAGGTTATCTTGAGATGATTTCAGGGCTTAGCGTCCTCTCGGCTCGGTCCTCGACCAGGCCTACTTTTTGTTACACACCCCTCCAGGAAGCAGCCCGTAGCAGCTGACTAACTCCCAGGTACCTATTTACTGCTAGGTAACAGGAGAATCAGGTGTGAAAGAAACATTTTGCCCATTTGTCTCCGCCTCCACCGGGGATCGAATCCGGGACCTCAGGACTACGAATCCGAAGCGCTGTCCACCCAGCTGTCAGGCGCCTGTCAGCTGTCAGGCGCTATGCCAAGGTGTCTCTTCAGTCTTGTTCTTGCTTGATCCGCGCGGAAGACGAAGTGGGGAGTGGTCGCGAGTCTTGTGTCTGTCTGTGTCTTAAGTCTGTTTACCTCCTTCCCCTCTATCCCTTCCCTCTCCCACCCCCTAACCCCCCACATCCTCTCCCTCTCCTTGGATTCAGTTGTTTGAGGAACAATTCTCTCTCCGCTGAAGTGTTCCATGTTGCGGCCAATTTCTTTAATACCCATGTGTATTCCTAGTTATGTTTTCGGGGGTTGGGCTCTAGCTACTGGACCCTGCCTTCTGATATTCACGTAATTGAAGTAGAGTAGTTGCTCTTTAATCTCTTGGGTTAAATGACAGGTGATGTTGTTACCTGGGTTGTTGGTCGACTTTCATCGCTTGTATCATTGACTACTTCCGCCTCATCACACACTGGCAAACATAATTCTTGTGTTTATTTCCCGCTAAACGTGTGTGTGTGTGTGTGTGTGTGTGTGTGTGTGTGTGTGTGTGTGTGTGTGTGTGTGTGTGTGTGTGTGTGTGTGTGTGTGTGTGTGTGTAATTACCTAAGTGTAGTTACAGGATGAGAGCTACGCTCGTGGTGTCCCGTCTTCCCAGCACTCTTTGTCGTGTGTGTGTGTGTGTGTGTGTGTGTGTGTGTGTGTGTGTGTGTGTGTGTGTGTGTGTGTGTGTGTGTGTGTGTGTGTGTGTGTGTGTACCGATGGTTTACATGTGGCAGATTTCGAGAGTTGCTCTACTCCCACACAGCCCGGCCCGAGGCCAGCTTCCTGGGTGATAAATTGATCAATAAGACTGTTGCAACTGATGGTGCGCAGGTCTGCACAGCCATCACAGCCCGGCTGATCGAGCAATTCCTTCACGAACTCCTCTAGTTCCCCTCCCCCCCCCCTTCAAGACTTCAAGTCTTGCTCCGGTAATATTCATGTATTTGTTGGTATAAGACTGAAGACTGAAGGTATATATATTCATTATTGATGTGTGATGTTCAACCAGTGTTCACTCGGCGTGTTTGACACCTCGATTCCTCACAGGGTTCATTTGACATTTTCTATCATATCCCTCATTCAAATTACCTGTTTTATAAGACTCAAGAGATTCAGGCACTGCTACTTCGAACGATACTTGGTACTGATCACTCATTTTCTTTAAACAGGTGTAAGACTCAAGTAGTATGGGGCTTAGAAAGTAGGATAGCGTTAATAGGCACATTGCTCCTAATAGAGACAGGGCTAATAGGTGCATTGCTCCTAATAGAGACAGGGCTAATAAGTGCATTGCTCCCTATAGGGACAGGGCTAATAGGCGCATTGCTCCCTATAGGGACAGGGCTAATAGGCGCATTGCTCCCAATAGAGACAGGGCTAATAGGCGCATTGCTCCCAATAGAGACAGGGCTAATAGGCGCATTGCTCCCAATAGGGACAGGGCTAATAGGCGCATTGCTCCCAATAGGGACAGGGCTAATAGGCGCATTGCTCCCAATAGAGACAGGGCTAATAGGCGCATTGCTCCCTATAGGGACAGGGCTAATAGGCGCATTGCTCCCAATAGGGACAGGGCTAATAGGGGGCATGATGGTCCCAGCTTGAGTAGGCATAATAATTCTAAAACTGATCATAGATGCACTAATGAGTGTAGGGATGAGCAGTCCGCCCTGAGTCTACGATGCATCAGTGCACGCAACATTTCCTTGACACAGCTTTCACACACACACGACAATGTTTGCAATATTTACCTCACCAATTTCCGGACAAGTCAATGTTTGCAACATTTCTGCACCATTGCTTCTTAACCGTATAAATGTTCCCAACAACTTCTCTTCACTGTTATCAAACATAATATTTACAAACACATCAATGTTTATTAAACATTACCACTTCTGGAGACACTATTTGTATGGATATCTAAAATTGATAGAAATTTTCCCGCAAACAATTTATTATTAAACATAACATAAGAACAAAGGTAACTGCAGAAGGCCTATTGGCCCATACGAGGCAGCTCCTATCTATAACCACCAAATCCCACTCATATACATGTCCAACCCGCGCTTGAAACAATCGAGGGACCCCACCTCCACCACGTTACGCGGTAATTGGTTCCACAAATCAACAACCCTGTTACCGAACCAGTATTTACCCAAGTCTTTCCTAAATCTAAACTTATTATTGTATTATAATACGTATTATTGCAAATAATACGGGACCCCACCGTAACGTAGTGGAGGTGGAGTCCCTCGATTGTTTCAAGCGTGGGTTGGACATGTATATGAGTGTGATTGGGCGGTTATAAATGGGAGCTGCCTCGTATGGGCCAATAGGCCTTCTGTAGTTACCTTTGTTCTTAAAACAACAATAAATGAATGAGGGCGCCCAGGTTTGAGTGCCTTAGACCGGTCGTTCTTAATCTATTTTGAGACATCGACCCCTTTGAAAATTTGGTGAAAGCTACGGACCTCCTCCCTAGAATAATGCTCACGAGCACAAACACAACTTTCCATGCAATGAATATATTTTATTTTATTGAAAATTGTCTTCATGCAATGTAAGATAAAATAAACACACGTGGACCCAGGTTATGACCCCCCTCCCCCCCCCCCCTGCCTTAAGAGGGTAAATCAACTACTGTGTCCTCGGCCCCCGCCCCCAACCACAGCACTTCCAAGACATTTGCAACCTGTGAGGACCCTTCATCCCGGAGAAGAGGATAAATGACATACGAGGGAGCCACACTGGACCTACCGCTATGCATAGTGTTTTCTCCCATCACCCCACAATTTGTTATGTATTATGTATGTATCATGAATATTTATTCTGTATTATGTATGTATCATGAATATTTATTCTGTATTATGTATGTATCATGAATATTTATGTATCATTATATTTATTCATGAACATAACCTACACTCAAACGTGCTGGAAAACACCATAACCTTTTGAGCAAATTGCTTACAGAATACAGAGATATGACTGTACCTGGTTGATGGGGTTCTGGGAGTTGTTCTACTCCCCAAGCCCGGCCCGAGGCCAGGCTCGACTTGTGAGAGCTTGGTCCACCAGGCTGTTGATTGATACCTCATAGTCTGTGATACGCTAAATGTTAAATCACAGTCCCGCACTGTAAAACCTACGCTGGACTCTACGATGGTAGCCAAAGTTTAAGGTACGGTCACGTGAGAAAGAAAACAGGTGAAATGGATAAGTAAATTCACAGCGCTGCTAAAAACTAATTCTGTGGCGAGGAAGTGATTTGGAGAAAAAAAGATGACGAGAAATGAGAGGACGTAAAGCAAAGGGAGAGAGAGATAGAGGATGAGGGAAGGGACAGGGATAAGAATGGAGCGAGTTATATATAGAGCGCAGTAGAGAGAGATTACGGGCTCACCATAGCCCGTGCTACATGTCGTTCTCAGTAGCTAAATATAAAACAACAGAGGGAATGGGAGGCAGGAAGGAGTGAAAGGACAGGATAGAATCAAACAGGAGAGGAAAGAACACAGGAACATATAGAGCTTATCCACAGAGTATGGAACATTCTTCGTCTGTCTCATATCCTTCGTCTAGAAGATGGACTTTACACACACACACAATCAACGTGCTCCCTTGACACCCTCCGGGGTCAACGGAGAACGCAATACACCAACAAAATTAAATAATTTATTGCTCTAAAGCACCATGTGGGAAGAAAAGGAAAAATCATAAATACGTCATCCTTTAAGGGAATTCAATCGAGAATTCGCTGACGGTGTCTATTGGTCCAGTCACTTAACTGCCTGTTGGCACGACTGTCAGACCACTCCGTGGCTCGTCACCAGTAACCCAGGATGGTTGAAGTAACTTACGATAACTGGAGTTGCTTTACCGTTGTAACTTAGACTAGCCTTAAAGTTACTTGCAAATTACTTACAGTAACAGAAGTAACTTACAGTGCATTAACGGTTGTAACTTAGACTAGCCTTAAAGTTACTTGCAAGTAACTTACAGTAACAGAAGTAACTTACAGTGCTGCCGTTGTCGTGAACATCACTATCTGACGTCTCCGTGATACTGCTGTCTTGTGATTTTCCATTGAGGGCTGGAACAGTGGTGGCGGTGGTGGTGGTGTCAGCGGGGTGGGTGGCCACGGTGCCCTGGATGGGGGCCACGGTGCCCTGGGTCCCCTCTAGGTCCGCAGGGCCCTCATCTCCACCCTTCACGCCCTCTTCGAACTTAACGGAGCGCCGCCCCGAACTGTGCAGCCGCTTCTTGGCGTGCTGTCTCAGCCTGGAGAGCATGGTAGTGGCGGGTTATGTGGACGGGGCGATGTGGCAGACGCCAGCCACTACAGACGGGTGGAGGCAACCGAACGCGGCGGCCGCCTGTCTTAAAGTCCGTCCGCACTATGATGTTCTGTCTTTATCCGTCTCGCTTACCTGTCTCGTTTTCTTTGATAACGTATCGTTTTCTTTTGTATTTTGATCAAGTATTTTCTTATCAATGTCTATTATACTTATATTCATTCGTCTTTAACCTGTAACCTAACCTTCCTCAAATTCCCAAGCCTTTATCAATTTTTTTTCCTTTGCATCTGTTTCCGCAATTAAAGATGTGGTTAATGTGTAATGTCTCCAAATTAACGACACAAACAGTGAATTTTACAGAGTAGCATTAAAACCTTACATGTGTTATGTATATGTATTTACGTATATGTAAGCCCCTGGGGCGCTATCACGTGGGTTGGTGCCATACGTCTCAACCGGAAGTGACTGTGCCAGCCACTTGCTTCCTTGGCACTGCCTTATCATTCCCTTTTACTGCAGAATAAGTCAACGACTTCTTAATAATTCAACGAGATGCACTCTTAGTTAAACTCATTTTGCAATGTTAATATATATATATATATATATATATATATATATATATATATATATATATATATATATATATATATATATATATATATATATATATATATAGGCCTGGTAAAAAAACAGGGCCTCGGGGATGTTGATCTTCGGAGTCTTCGAAAGGTAAGTCTAGGCTTTCTTGACAAAATGTAATCAAATCGTCAACAATTTTAATCCTCCCATATCATCTTAAACCGGTAAACGTTGTGTTGGAAAGCGAACATTAAGAAATCTAAGACTTAATAATGATCAGCGTGTATAATGTGTACAAAAAGAGGTGACACTATTGCTGGTAGGCTGTGACGCCAGATGAGGCCTAACATCTCCCCCCCCCCCCCACACACACACACACACACACACACAAACACGCACGCACACGTTAATTAGAAATCATTCCTGATTACCACGGATTGATGAGGAGACGGCAGCCTAAGCGATAGGCTGTTATGTTCTCGCAATCTGACACCCCGAAAAAAATGCATCTGTTTTGCCAATCCAGAAACGTACTAACCTACACAACCCACTTAACCAATTAATAACGATGTATAGAAAACATTAATATTACGTTACTGAAACTTTCACTAACACATAATATTTTAACAGATTGATAGATTCCGTAATAAATGTGATATATTTGGTGAGAGGAGCTCCATATTGCCTAGGGACGAAAGGGTAACCAAATATATTGGATGAAAATATACTATTTTTATATGTGCGACAAGCTAGGCTTGCCTCTGGAATAATCAAGTTACGAAATGGTTTTCAAATCTTGTTTTAAATTATCATCTGAACCAAAAATATTGTTAACGGAAAATAAATTTATATTTAATTTAAAGTGTTGGAATGACTGGCACGAAACTAAAATATATATTTATAGCTCACATTCCGTGCTTGTGAGAGAGAGAGAGAGAGAGCTAACATTCCCTGCTTGTGAGGGAGAGAGAGAGAGAGAGAGAGAGAGAGAGAGAGAGAGAGAGAGAGAGAGAGAGAGAGAGAGAGAGAGAGAGAGAGAGAGAGAGAGAGAGAGAGAGAGAGAGAGCTAACATTTCTTGTTTGTGAGGGAGAGAGAGAGCTACCATTTCCTGCTTGTGAGGGAGAGAGAGAGCTAACATTTCTTCCTTGTGAGGGAGAGAGAGAGAGCTAACATTTCTTGCTTGTGAAGGAGAGAGAGAGCTAACATCATGTGCTTGAGAGAGTGAGAGAGGGAGTATGCATCCTTGGCCTTCCTCCAAGACCGGTGATATGATTACAGCCTGAAAAAAATGAATGCTTCACATTCAAATTGTAAGAGAAGATAAGATACCTGATTTTTTGTGTGGCAATTATTCCGCTATAGCGGTAATCGTGCTTCTCTAGTTAAGCTGCGCTTAGTACATGAACACCGGTACAATCTCACCAAGAGAAGCCGAAGCCTAGGTTCTTACAGCCTAGCATTTTTCACCTACCGGGGGGTAACTAGTTCAGGCACAACCCTCCCACGCGCACACACAAACACACACACACACACACACACACACACACACACACACACACACACACACACACACACACACACACACACACACACACACACACACACACACACGGTAAGACTCAAACCCGTTCTCTTGATTTGCCACAACGTGCAAAATCCAACGTCCTAACCTAACCTATACCCCAGCCGGGAAAGCCTTGTCGGACGCCCATGTGTGCTGACACGTGTATGTATGAATTGACGTGTAAAATGAATTTACGTTATCGATTCCGGCACAAAATTACGGTGGTTTAGGGAGAAAAGGGAAACACTGATACTTTCTGGGACTAATGAGCATCGGCTGCGGTAAATTAGGTGGGTAGCCTAGGTTCCAACGCTATTTTATTAGGCTAAACCACTTCATTTTTCACGGAGAGGGTTATGGAGAGAACGCATTCATTCCGTCGGCCCGCAAACTTTCAAATCACACGGCACACTGCTTAAAGGACTGTAAACATAGCACTTGGGGGCAGGGGCACAGCACCGCTCCTGTGCCAGGTAAGTCCACCACGGGCTCACCATAGCCCGTGCTACTTGGACGTTGTTGCGAGTAGCTGAATCTGTAACAACAACAACATAGCACTTGGGTGACACCAAGAAGGAAGCCTGTACTCCCCACCGTTACTATACTTCACAGCATCTGCCGTGCGGCGTCATACACTTGCACATAATATCAAACATACCGCAATTAATATATCGTATGTGTTGGCACGGACTCGACCAATCCATTAAAACTGCGACCTACTAGCACAAATTAATGCGCTGTTATATATGTTATATGCATCAGCCTCGATAGGTTTGGTGGGTTGGTAGGGTTCATACGTTTCCGGTTAGGTAAAATAGTTATTTTTTAGGTATCTGGAGAACCGGCTGGTGGAAGAGGCCAAGAGGCATCTATCACCTCATAAAGTTGTTATGGGTTATCACTAGATAACGCTGGTGCCTGTATGCATAGGTTAACGGTACTTCGTTTATAAGATAATGATGTTTTATCTGCGCCTCCGGCTCACTGCTTTCACCCTAGAGGAGGAAGTTGGCACAGGTGGCCAACAGAACTGTTGTGTGCTCCGTCTTGCTTGCCACCACTACACAATTCCTCAAGCATTCGTGTGTTAAACTGGAAACATATTCATCTTTCCTCGTTCATAGCGGGTTAGATTGTATTAAACACTTTACAATCTCTTGACTCGAGGACATTATTGTACAGTCAATATCGTAGCGCTTTGGAGCTCGTTAACTTGAATAAATGCAAATTTAGATAGGGAGCCGGTCGGCCGAGCGGACAGCACACTGGGCTTGTGATCCTGTGGTCCCAGGTTCGATCCCGGGCGCCGGCGAGAAACAATGGGCAGAGTTTCTTTCACCCTATGCCCCTGTTACCTAGCAGTCAAATAGGTACCTGGGTGTTAGTCAGCTGTCACGGGCTGCTTCCTGGGGGTGGAAGCCTGGTCGAGGACCGGGCCGCGGGGACACTAAAGCCCCGAAATCATCTCAAGATAACCTCAAGATAGGTCTCCATGGTCGAGGAAAGATGTAAGTTAATAATAAATCTATCTGCTGTCTAGGTGTTCAAAAATGTTGTTCTGAACATTAGGGTTGCTAGTGTTTAATTTGTTTAAATGTTCACACTTTATTAATTTATTAATTTAATTTATTTATTAATTTATTATTAATTTATTATTTATTATTAATTAATTTATTAATTAATTATTAATTTGTCTGGTATTTAAATGTTCTGATAAATGTTAGCAATTTTTGTCTCTATTGGTGCAGTTCAAAAATCTAAGTACAGTATTTAAAAAAGATCACAAATAATTAATATAAACAAGAGTTCAGAAGTTCACGTTTCAAAATTTGTACTTTAAACCCAAATGTTCTGTTCAATATGCACACGTGAACCACTCGCGTTATTCACTGTTATGTTCTGTTCAGTTTCACAAGTGTTATTCAGCTGTTGCAATGTTAAAAAAAATCCTTGTTCAATGTTCACAAGAGTTGCTGGATGCTCATAATTGAGGGATCCTTCAATGTTCAAAAAGGGTTGTTCAGAGAAACACAAATGTTGATTACCTACACAGCAATTGTCTTAGTAATTTACAAAGTTCAACATCCAAGAATGTTCTCTATTGTTCACAGGAGTTTGTAAGTATGCACATCGTCAGTATTCGCTACTGTTGTTCTTTTAAAGATTAGCTACCTGGAACAAAAAGTTCCAAGTAGCACGGGCTATGGTGAGCCCGTAGCGTAGAGATTGCTCATCGTTCAATGCTTTCCAATGCGAATTAATACTATAATCACACTCCGTGTTCACAATTGATGCACATTTATTCCAGCCGTGTTTCTGCAACTTTACCCCTAAACTATTACTATTCAGCAATGTTCACTGAAATTGTTCACTTTGACTAGTTAAATCAGGTGTTCACAATTCGTTCAGTATTGAGAAATTCATTTTTTTTTCACTAATATTCACAACGATTCATAGATATCCTCCATGTTCAAAAGTGTTCTCACATTAGTGTTCCCTGTGTTCACCAGTGTTCACCCTAGGGACGAGCGGTGGGCGTCTACACCACAGGAACTGACGTACGTGACTGTTCTGACTCCGCCGCCACCTGACGGGCGGACGGCACGTAAGAAACCCGCGCTCCTATTGGCTGCCCTTATCTACGCCGCCAAGATAAACAAATATCCGAAAGCGTAATTTGAACCTTGGCATCGGCTTCGATATTCCTCAACGCGAATACGTTAATTAAGTATTTGACTAATTCTCGCCAAGTGGAATTTAGAGAATTAAGTGCCGATAACTGATACAATGGTCTAATGAATAATTTTATAATACTGTGAGTAATCTAGTAATGGAGAGGTTTCAACCACCCGAAAAACACATCTTTTATCGCATAATGATGTTCAAATTCACAGCCGATCAGTCAAATGAGAATCTGCTAGAGTCAGATATTAGTGTTGCATCATAGACACCGCGATACTAGTTAGCGATCCCAAAGATAACCATTACTGCTGTTTATAGTTTTAAAACTGTCAAAACTGGCGCCTGACAGCTGGGTGGACAGCGCTTCGGATTCGTAGTCCTGAGGTTCCGGGTTCGATCCCCGGTGGAGGCGGAGACAAATGGGCAAAATGTTTCTTTCACCCTGATGCCCTTGTTACCTACCAGTAAATAGGTACCTGGGAGTTAGACAGCTGCTACGGGCTGCTTCCTGGGGGGTGTAACAAAAAGGAGGCCTGGTCGAGGGCCGGGCCGCGAGGACGCTAAGCCCCGAAATCATCTCAATAAAACCTCAATATATATATATATATATATATATATATATATATATATATATATATATATATGTGTGTGTGTGTGTGTGTGTGTGTGTGTGTGTGTGTGTGTGTGTGTGTGTGTGTGTGTGTGTGTGTGTGTGTGTGTGTGTGTGTGTGTGCGCGCGCGCGCGGGCGCGCGCCTCGTAGAATTGTCACGTCAACTCTGGTTCAATTTTATTAAAAATATCACTATTTTCCAACTGATGTATTCTGTAATGAATATTTACCTTACTAGGCAAAACAGACAAATATTGCCTCATACTAGTGATATATACGCAAATAATAGAGTGGGTTTAAATAGCGTTATCAGAGGCGTAAAACCTGCCGTAAGCATAAATTGTGGTTGGCGTGTGTGTGGTTGTGCTCGTATAGCCGTGCTTACCTCACAGTGGGCTCCAGCTCCTGGTGTCTGGCCCACTAACCTCGCTATACCTTGTGGCAGTTGAGGCGAAGGATGACACCCACCCACATGACACTAAGATTAAACAATTGCTTTCTGACTGTGCGAGATATTAAAGAACTTGACAGGAAAATCCTGGTTTGTGTCTCGGAGAGGCTGCAGGGTCCAAGTAAGGTCAGTAGAACTTCTGGTTGCAATTCTTTTTACCATGTCGTAGCTCAGTAGATTATGGCAGCGTATGGGACCCTCTCGGACGCAGGTTCGAACCCTCGTCACGGCCCCTTGTGCATTTCTTCATTTGACATAGGAACATTTGCAAATACTCAAATTGACAATATTAGGCGAGATCAATTTCATCCCATTGATTTCCAAGCATTTTTGCTGGATCAAAATCCACATTTAAACTAGGTGCTGAAAATCCTGAAGTCACGTGGAGTAACTTAACCAGTTCAGATCCTGTACAGTTTGTTCTTGCTCTCACGTTATTAGCGGGAGGCGGGAACTGCGCTCACAATATGCAATCAGGAGTGTAAGGACACCCAATCAGGAGTGTAAGGACACCCAATCAGGAGTGTAAGGACACCCAATCAGGAGTGTAAGGACACCCAATCAGGAGTGTAAGGACACCCAATCAGGAGTGTAAGGACACCCAATCAGGAGTGTAAGGACACCCAATCAGGAGTGTAAGGACACCCAATCAGGAGTGTAAGGACACCCAATCAGGAGTGTAAGGACACCCAATCAGGAGTGTAAGGACACCCAATCAGGAGTGTAAGGACACCCAATCAGGAGTGTAAGGACACCCAATCAGGAGTGTAAGGACACCCAATCAGGAGTGTAAGGACACCCAATCAAGAGTGTAAGGACACCCAATCAGGAGTGTAAGGACACCCAATCAGGAGTGTAAGGACACCCAATCAGGAGTGTAAGGACACCCAATCAGGAGTGTAAGGACACCCAATCAGGAGTGTAAGAAAAACAATACGCAAAGGACAAGACGAACAGGAAATGGAGTAGACACGAATAGCATTAGAAGCAGGAGGAGCAGTGTGAGTACTCTTGACATTAAACTCGCCATTCGACAAACTAACACACTTCGTAGCAGTCTAGTTCACAATACGCAAAACCTCACGCCCTCATAAGTCTCATAATCTCGCACCAAAATATGTAAATGTGATGGTTGAAAGCGTCATGTTAATCAAGAGTCTTCGGACGTTGGAAAAATTCGTGGGAAGACATATGCAAATGAGATATGAAGATGAATATCTTTTTCATAGAATACTTGAAATATTAAACATACCAGTGAAATATCTATATGCAGAAAGTTAAGTCCTAATAACAGGAAAATTAGACAGTCAACTTACACATCTGAAAGTGAAGAAAGTGACGGGGGTTTTCGGTCTGTCTTGAACCATTATCAAGTCCAAGACGGACAGAAACGTCACTTTCTTCCTTTACCTTGAGATGCGCGGGTTGGGTGTCCAAGCAGCTGTTTGGGATAATAACACGGCTGTATTCACCGGCAACTGGATAACTTGTTGAGAATAACAAAACTCAAGTTGTTTTTATCGTAACACTAACAGGGGATGTAGTTATTACAGGGAACTGTAATGATGTATAAGGAGTACGTGCTGTATAATGATTGCACAAGTATAATGACTAAATGAACGCATATAATGCGTTCTTGGGGAATAATTGACCGACAACAGCGCCACCACCACTGCCACCACCATCATCACCACTACCACCACCATCACCACCACCACCACCCCACCACCCCCCCCCACCCCACCACCACTACCACCACCACCACCATTACCATCACCACCCCCACTACCACCACCACCACTACCACTACCCCCACCATCACCACCACCACCACCACCCCCCCACCCCACCACCACCACCACCACCACCACCCACCACCACCACCACCACCACCCCCCCACCCCACCACCACTACCACCACCATCACCACAGTATCCCAAACTCACGCAAATTGCGTTAGTGCTACATATTATCCACCATGACAAACCGCGGGAAGATTGCGTGAGGCGGCCAGCCTCTGGAGGGACATGCAGACTTAGAAAGGATAAAACTTTTATTGAATTTGCATTACACTTTGAATACCACCCGGAAGTTCAATATTAGCGGCGTCGAGGCGGAGGCTGAGGACAGCCAGTCAGTCACAGGACAGACAGCCAGTCAGAGGACAGCCAGACAGTCACAGAACAGACAGACAACAGCACTTAAAAGTGCCGAAACAACTTCAAATTTTGGGAGGGGGGAAGAGGGAGGGAAGCGTCGCTGGCAGAGTCATACAAGACTAAGTGTCGAGTGAAGGAGAGAGGCAAGGAAGGTCGAGAGGAAGGGAGAGAGGCAACAGGTACTAACGAGACCTCCTGATGCATTAAACGCAGCAGACACCCGTCCACCACCACGGCAGCAGCAGCCCCACAGGCAGCAGACACCCGTCCACCACCACGGCAGCAGCAGCACCACAGGCAGCAGACACCCGTCCACCACCACGGGAGCAGCCCCACAGGCAGCAGACACCCGTCCACCACCACGGCAGCAGCAGCCCCACAGGCAGCAGACACCCGTCCACCACCACGGGAGCAGCCCCACAGGCAGCAGACACCCGTCCACCACCACAGCAGCAGCCCCACAGCCAGCAGACACCCGTCCACCACCACAGGAGCAGCACCACAACCAGCAGACACCCGTCCACCAGCAACCACTAACTATTGATTATCGACGAACATGAAAAAAAGCAGCAAATTTACACAAAACAATTACCCCGAAGAGTGTTCTTTCCACGAAGACAAGTAATGACTCTGCCTTACGAGAACAAAGTCCACTTTGATCTCCAGAATAACAGAATAAATCCCGCGTCTCGTCTCACACTCAGTAGGTCTTGTAACCCGCCACGACGCCGGAAATCCCTCCTTGGTAAGATGTTGTTAGGAGACTGTTAGATGTCATGTGTTCTCGCCAAGACGGGAACTACCTCCATTATTACGGCTGTCCTCTCTCTCTCTCTCTCTCTCTCTCTCTCTCTCTCTCTCTCTCTCTCTCTCTCTCTCTCTCTCTCTCTCTCTCTCTCTCTCTCTCTCTCTCTCTCTCAGTGGCCACCCTGATTGCTTGCCAGACAGTCCCTCTGGCTAACTTGATTGCCTGTCTGTCCCTCTCTTGCTTGCTTGCTGACCTTCTAGCCTAATCTGATTTCATGCTTGCCTACCCTGTTGACTGTTTTGTTTACCTACCAGCCTAACTGCCGGTCTCCCTGGGGGGAACTACTCTAACAGCACCACTAACAACGCCAATAAGAAAAGGTACTTACTCCTCCACTAAATGTAGATGACCCGGCCATTATCTTCCTCATGTGCTCTGTAACTACCCCATTACTGACGCCACAGGGAACAACGCCAACACCTTCAACAGCCACAGAGAAGCATTCCTTATAACTACCTCTACTACACTTATAGATCTCTCTCAGCGCTTATCAACTAAGGTAAGCTAATCTAAGCGACTCTCAGTCGCTTAGATTACGACTCACAGATCTGTTAGAACCTGCAAATATATCTATCACTTAATATATTATATTATATATATATATATATATATATATATATATATATATATATATATATATATATATATATATATCTAACGTTCACTGCAATTACGTCATCCGAGCTTGTTCGTTTGTTATTGAAAGGTGCGTTCATGGTCGTTCATGGTCGTTCCGGGTGTTCATGGTCGTTCCTGGGTGTTCATGGTCGTTCCCGGGCGTTCAACTACTGGTCTTAACAACTACATCTTGATCTTCTACAAGTTATGTTGCTTCACACTTGTAGCTGTGAACATTGATACAACCCGCTGACATATATATATATATATATATATATATATATATATATATATATATA